TGTTTCATGACATATTTTTTGTAACAAACTTTCCTAATATTCTTCGTCTTAAAAGCAGTGATCCCCTCTCCTTTTTTTCTCAAGTACTGCCAGGATGCGAGAATAGTGTTGTGGGAAATGTCTATTGCTTATTCCAACTGCTCTTGTTTCATAAGTGAGTAGAAAATTGGATTGGATGTCGGAAGGGTAGCTGTGTGACTGTCAATATGCTCTATTAACCTGCCTTCCTGGATATCAATCATTTATCCTCCTCTTTCTCTTTGCTCCTGCAGACATGAACACGCCCGATGAAGCATTAAAGCAGCACAAATGATCCTTTTCTTCCCTCGTCCACCCCCCTTTCCTGTCTTTTATAGCACAAATACGGCAACTATAGATATTCGCCTACTACAACAGTGGCAAGTGTATGAACATGCATCCTGCACTCTATTTTGCTGTGTATGTATGTATGTATGTCTGGTAAAGCAGCGAGTAAATCCCTACACTGTGCAGATTTCACCAACCTACGTCACACACACACATTCCTGGCGAGCAGCAGTCTGCCCCGCGGCGCTCCGATGGCGCTGTCAAAACTTCTTAGCGAGGCCTAAATGATTAGAAACGCAGGCCTACGGCGAACACTTGGACAACGCTGTTCCAAAAACACAACGTGCAGTAAATCGTCACATAAGGGGGGTTTAAGGTCTGAGAGAGACAATTAAAAGGTGTTTGTCCAATGATGCTGCAAGTCCCAACAATAATGCAAGCTTGCAAAGTTGAGTTTGAAATCAGTGAAGTCATATTTATTTTCATTTTGTTTTCCCCTACCTTAAATAAATTGTCTGTTCTGTTTTGAGAATAATATTGTTTTATGCATGGACTTACTTAATAAAGCAACATTTAAGAGGTGGGTCTTCATTTTGTTTGTCTGAGGCCTCTTGTCTTTAACTTGGGACATTTGGGACAACTTCCTCTGGGTATTAAATTGTCTGACTGAATATGTATGTATCAATGCAGTATTTATTATATCTACTGAAGTATTAGAGCTCAGGATATCTTCGCTGCTCTGATTTTTAATGTAATGTTGAATTCCCCAGAATGCATTCATAAAAATGTGATGGTGTCATTTGCAGCTGTTCTGGATCCTTAACTCAAATCACGTGATGTTTATCAAGAGATTCCGTTTTGTATTCAAATTGGCTCTGCATGCATTACATTTACAGCTTGAAGGATCTTAAAGGTGGGGTAGGTAATTTTGGAGAAACCAGCTACAATTTGAAAATACACAGCCGAAAGAAATCTGCCACTTCCTTACGCTCTGTAAGGAACCCTCCTCCAACACACACGAACGTGCACATGACCAATGAGGGCACGAGATAAATTTGTGCACAGATGGAAGGCTGACAGGCAGGTAGGCCATCCAGTTATTTTAGCCGGGCCGGCTAAAATAACTGGTCGTGCTTTTTACAGTACCACGGCTTCCACAGATGACATTTTTGTATGGATTTTTTGTCAAAGCACTTAAGATATTAATTGCTATCGGGATGTTAAGAGCATTCCATGGAATATAACAAAAAGTGTATCTCAAGCCGGTTTCTCAAACTTACCTACCCCACCTTTAAATGTATCGTTTGTTTAAAATAAAAAGGTTTTTGTCCGTGATACGTCTACTGTGAAATATGTGCAATTATAATGCTGCCTTGGTTTTTCTTACATTTAATTTAAGTTCATGAAATCACGATATCTCTGCTGCTCTACTTTTTGAATCTTTTTTTTAACCCCCCATATTGCATGATGAAGTCTGCAAGCTGAAGAGTTGCGACTTTCAAAGCACTATTTATTTTTTCCTGATCACTTTTAGACCTTACCACCATCCACCAAGAACTTTGCCTGTTTCCAGGTCGCCTTTGTAAAATGTTTATTGTTATAATTATTCATGACACGTCTGCTTATTATAACCTGTTTCCCTCACTGCTAGATTTAAGATGTCACAGAAACTGAACTTGTGAAAACTGAACACAGGAAGTGCTGAGGATAAAATGCCCTCTTTTTCCCACTACAGTTATTATGAACGTTGGTGTATGATCTAAGAAGTGATCATTAATTTACCTGCTTGCTATCAAGGCATCTTAACTTGATGTGAATGTATGCACTCATCGGATCGTAAAATGTTAGGATGGCAGCTAAACTGGTTAACAAGGAGACGAGCAAACAATAAACAGAGGAGTTTAAAAGGAAGATTAAAGTTAAAAATGATGGATGACAAAAAAATGACGGATGCAGGAAAGAAAAAAGAAAAGCCAGTGGCGAACCGTGTCTATCACAACGGGACCTTCTGTAGACACACACACCTCCCGTCGCCCCGCCCCCCCTCCGCGGCATTATAATGTCCGTCTTTTCACTGAATTGTCGTCTTGAAAAGGGTACTCACAACAATTCCGCAACAACTTCATCTTCACCTGTTGCACTTGTCATTTCAACGTTAAAAACAATAAAACGGCATGAATTGCTTCGTCGCATTCAAAGATCCTCTGTCTCGAGCCAGTTAACTAGCGGGCCTTCTAGAATACCCTGGAACCCAGGGTCGGCGTCATGGGGGGTCATTCGCGGGCCATGCCCCCCCAAATGAGTCACTGTGCCCCCCCAACGCAGGGTTGGCAAGCCTTGCCACTTTGCCGTTTTTTTCTTTTTCTAATCATATAAGTGAAAACGTTTCCACTAAAGGTTTTTTGTGTGAAATACATCAGAAATAAAGAATACAAATATAAAACACAGTGTGCTCACTGTTGCTCTCTGATTGGTGTGTTGCTTGACCAATGACCCCCGACCTTTTTTTTGTTATCATTACTTGGCTGTGTGTTTAGATGAAAGCCTAGTGGCGATCTGTTAATCTGTTATACTGATTATACAGTAAAGCCATCGAAAATAATATGATATACAGTACAGTACAAGTACATGGGTCTCTGTGTGTGTGTGGCACGAGTGCATTTTGTGAGTTCGCGAGCGGTAACGTGGAATGTTGTTAGCATCTGGTTAGCTAGCTATGCTAACGGATATAAAGGGCTGTTTCTACACCAAGGTGGAGGAGAGTCCTCTCCTGTCAGACTGAGAGGATCTTATAACCTCAGCTCAGTGAGGTAAGGACTCTCTCAGTGTTTAGATAGTTCACTTTAGTGTAGGTTATCTCAGTGGGTCTCAAACGGTTTGGTCACCATTTATGTAAGTATTTTCGAGGAATACCTTTATATGATCATTATAGTTATTAAAGAGAGAATAAATGAAAAACGGGTATGAAATACTATAGGACAGAAACACAAGAATACAGTTTAAAAGGGGAATGATTAGTAAAATATCCATAAAGAAAAAGTAAATCTGGTTACAGTTCTGTTTCATATGGATGCTGAGAGATGTAGGCTATCCATAGATCTCTTCATTTTGCTCTCAAAGTGCACCAGATTGATGCATTTAACTTCAATATTTTAAAAATAATCTTCCCGGGGGAGCATGCCCCCAGACCCTCCTAGAGGAGGTTAGGTCCACCCCCACCTAAAACATGTTCACATGGATAGGATACTAAATACATTTGCACACTTTTTATATGGTGGCCTATGTCCATATCAAATCAAATCAAGTTTTATTTATATAGCACATTTTTCAACGATTTTTGGTCGAGCCAAAGTGCTGTACATATAATAAAAAAATAACCTACGGTAAAGACACTTTACAGCAAATACAACAGCACAGTTTGTGCAGAATATCAGTATGAGAAAACGACACCCTCTGTCCTTATATGTTTCTGTTTTGGTGGTCGTGCCACAACCGTGCATGTATGCACAGGTCATAGGTGCGCTATACAATAGCACTACACCCCTGCAATGTGTGTGAAAGACAATAGACTTTACAGCATGTTTTTTGAAATTGAAGTTGCGTTGGTGTTTGTGTGTTGGTTGTTGACGGCAGTGTGTGCCCCCCCTTGGTAAATTATTGCCCCCCCATTCGATTTGTTCTAGAGCCGACCCTGCTGGAACCGAGGGAAACTCTGAAAGAACACGCCCATTGGCTACAAATCAACATATGATTGGTTGATCAAACTGTCAGTCCAAACGTACGCTCTCATTCAGTGTAACGGCCAGGGCATTCTATCAAGGATGTAGAATACCTTGGTTGAAGGAGATTCTATCCAGATACCCAGAACAAGATCTGATTGGTTGCTTTCTTTTCTAACACAAAACCACTGAAATGCGTAGTGCATGGTCCGAGAAGGACAAACAAATCAACGTAACACTGTAATATTACAGATCAACAACACAGATACGATTCTCATTTATTCATTTTATATACATTTTATAATTTTATTTCTATAATTAAATCGATTTTTTCTTTGTTTTATCTGAGTGTTCCTGGGTATTCTCTGAATACCTTGAAGGCCCTGACGGTTTGCCACTGAGATAAGCAGATGGCGGAGAAAAGGAAGTGGCCCTCTGAGATGATTTATGAGACTGAAAAAGAGGAACTAGTAGTAACGGACAACAGGGCCCCCCCCCCAACACACACACATTACCGACAGTTTATTAAAGAGCAAATAGTACAGTAGTGGATTTTTAAGGCTGCCTTTATTTACTACTGATCATACCTTACTGGTTGTACACATCTATCGTTCTATTAATGTGTGTGCTTGTGTGTATGTGTGTGTTTGAGTGTACATATACTGTACCTGCAAGTTATGAGATGGTGAGTGAAAGTATGTGTGCGTGGGTTAATGTGAAACTGAGAGTAAAAGTGTGTGTACGGATTGTGAAAGTTTCTGCAGTGTGTGAAAATATATCTGTGTCTTATCTCCTCAAAACACTTGAACCCATTTTTGGAGAACACAAAGACGCTAGTGTTCCGCGCTCATGTCCACCATCTTTCTATGAATCCTTCTCTCTTGTTCTCCATCATTCTATCCATATCACATATCTTCCATGTGGATGCAGCTGTTGTTTGTGTGTGTGTTGTGAGTGTGTGTGTTTGTGACTCACTGCGGCCGTTATGTTCTTGCACTCCTCCATGATCGCAGCAGAGTATTTGTTGGAAGGCATCGCTGTCGCTGTGGTTTGGTCCTGAGGCTGTCCTGACTCCTTTTCAAACCTGGATGAGACACAAAACAGGAAACAGTCAGAAAATAAACAGGAAAAATAAACTAGTTTTGTGGATTATCAACAGTCAATGTTTCTTTGTCTCTCTTTTCAAGAATTCCCCCCATCAACTTCTGTGCTTCTAGAGGGCCTTCTTATAAATTCATTCAGCCAAGATTATGTTTTAAATATAAACAAGAGATGTCTTCTTTGTACATTTGAACCTCCGAATGAGGTCTGTTTTCATATTTATGAATTTATAACACTAAAAAAGTCCTTTTAGCACAAACTGTGTCACAGCTTCTTTGTGTATGAATAACTGAATTCAAGAGAGGTAGTGATATAAAGCCCAACAATCCAAAACTGTCCTTCCAAAACATGTAAAAACAATCATTTCCACCAATTAAACACCATTTCTATTGTTGTATGGCACATTACAGCCTCTTCAGCTGGCTGATGCTTTAGATGTCAAGATGAAATATGGCCAACTGTAAAACATATTGGATAAAGAAACACAGATATACAGGTTTGTATCTGGAGTTCATGAAAAATAGAGGTAGAGAAAGTAAGAGGAAGCCCTCTCCTGTTCTCTATGAGCAGATCAGACATGCCCACACAAACCTGTAAGTAAACAGATACACAAGCATGTCAGGGGTGTGTGTGTGTGTGTGTGTGTGTGTGTGTGTGTGTGTGTGTGTAAGAGAGATTGAACACATTAAGTGAAACTGTATGTGTTTGTACATGTATTAAGTATGTGGTAACACTGCAGTCTTCTGCCCTTTGTGTGACTGTACATTCTTCAGAGTCTCCATGCTGCTCCCAGAATATTTTAATGCGGATGTATGTATGTGTGCGTGTGTGTGTGTGTGTGTGTGTGTGTGTGTGTGTGTGCCGGTTTAAATTTCATGGAGGTGGCAGGTCAAAGGATTTGTCAAACGAGCCCGTGCAGAGAGACCTGCAGACCTCAGGTAGTCGACTGTCAGGTTTTCTCACTTTATCTGATCTCCCTGGAGACACATAGAAACAAATCCCAAAATAATAACAATGAAAGCAATTATAAAATGCAAAAAGGGGAAAGACAATGAGTGATTGTGAAGGGGAATGTTAAATATATTATTGCACAGTCAGCAATTGTTTATCCAATACAAACAATTACCTCACTCACCTAAACCCTCTGTGTCAGTGTTAACAACCATTTACATTGTTAAATACAAATGTATGACTCGAATGGACTGCAATACAACTTTGGGTTACTTTATAACAGAAGAAAACCCATGTGGCAGTTTCTCCACTGTGAGAATTTGCTGATATGTTCTGTTGTTAAGTATATATTAGACATCAGTACACGTTATTTTGGATTTTCTACAATAAATCAGTTATAAGTTGTACATTTGTTGCAGCCCTCAACACAACCTCATAGCATCCAGTAATACAACTTAATCCACTGACTATCCTCACTAGGAGTCTCTCAATGATGCAGGGTAACATGAAAAAGTCTTAATATTTTATCACGTTGTACTAGTTTGAACGTGGCAAAATGAAGTGGGTTTTTGCCTATTTAGACATGGCGTAAAAATACAGAAATACTGATTTTATACAGTATGTGTAATTCAGACTGTGAGTGCTCTATTTCTTACAATGTAGTCAGACTACAAAGAGATCTTCATGACATCTATAGGAAGGAGGAGAAATCACTTTCTCTATGTACAAACAGCATGTTACTATTGTTAAAATCACAGCCTAACTGAGTCTCTAATGCAGAGGATTCATGTCGCAGAGGATTCATGCCCCAGGACTGACACAAACTGTCTGACATAAATACATATAATGTGAGATCAGGGACTCTCCCTCCAGCGGCTGCAGAGTTCATCACTCAAACAGGATGTTCACGCCTCCTCCTCCTCCTCCCCACGCCTTTGACCTTTGACCCACACACAGCAGCAGCCCAAACAGGTAGCCTATAAATGTAATTCTGCTCTGGATTGGGTTTTCCTGGTTAAGTATGTTAAAAAGCATCTATCATTATTGGGAAGGGATATTAAACATAATGTGACAACCAACTAGGTAAATGTGCATGCTGAATCAACAGGATTAGGTGAGTGTAGTGGTATGAATGGTATGCTGATAACACATATTTAAGATTACATAGAGACGTTGCTAAAAACTACAACATATTAGATGCTAATGAGAGTTTTCGGCACCATTTTATGACCATTATTTATTTTTTTAGCAGCATGTTGCATATCTTGTGTGACACTTTCTATCAAGCTTAAGTCTGGCTAACGACAGGTATTGTAATCTAAAATTGACTTTGATATAGTTATTATTGACTGTATGACACACTATGATTTCTTTCCACTTTTGCTCAATCCATTACATTCTTTCTTAAAAAGGACAATACACTTTGATAAAGTGTAAGGTTTTATCTATAGTGTTCCTATGAGTTTGATTTTATCTTATTTACACTTTTGCTTCATGCTTTTTATTATGGATTATGACTTATCTATGTTCTACTTTGTTTAACTACCTTTCTGTCTTTGTTAGCTCACTAAGACCAATTCAAATAAACGCTGTTTGTATCGTAGTTGATATTTTTTGAGTGTTCATACTGGCTCTGCATCCTGGAATTAAAGTGTGTTCACAACTGTATCTTTTCTGAAACAGCTTTCAGCTTTAAGAAACAGAGAAGTGAAAATTAATTAGAGGAAGGATGGAGGGCAGAGGGGCCCAGGAGGGGCCCAGGAAAAGGGGACATGAAGTTGGAGGGGGGAGGCTTCACATCAAAGTTGTGTCTGGTGGCAAGAGATTAGGGACCGCATTGCAAGAGGGGATTGTTCACTCCCCAAAGGGTATGAACATGAATGTGTGTGTGTGTGTGTGTGTGTGTGTGTGTGTGTGTGTGTGTGTGTGTGTGTGTGTGTGTGTGTGTAAGAGAGAGAGAGAGAGAGAGAGAGAAAGGGGTCTCTCTCTAGGGGCTGCATTCCTTGTCTGTCATATACTTTATGGCCCCTTCAGGCTCAGATCAAGCCCAAATGTGTAACATTGTCTACTTTGTTGCCTATTGTACGACTGAAGGCTCGTACGGTATATAATCCACTCGCTCAGAAACCTGTGACGAGAACAGGATAGGATTTTCACGGCGGCCATGGCCGTTGTTGCCCCTTGGTCTGGACGTTATGGCCCACAAATAATTGTACGTCCTACGGCCTCCATGGCCTTTGTGCCCATCACACTGTTAAAATCTCGAAGTTGATTTAAAAGCGTCAGAGCAGTGGTCTGGTGTCTGAACTGCATTATGCTGCGTTCACAACGGAGGCTATGCGAATATTCGCATTGCTCTAATCGCTGGAGTTTCACGGCCCGTCCACACGGCGGCGTGCGCATGACCGTATCCACCATTGAGGTCACCGAGGTCCGGACCTCGGTAATATTTTCCGAGCTGTGTATAACAAAACTTGTGAAATAATTGCACTAAACGGGGTTCTTTGTAGTACTTCCATTTACTGACGATGGGGGCGCTGCATAACTACGTAGCCTCGGTTAAAGCAAACAGAAGAAGACGACATATATCAACAAACCACCGCAGCCCGGACTTGAACCGGAGCAGCGGAGGAGTGATGAGGTATCTAGAGATCTGAGTCCAGCGGGCTGCTTGTGTTTCTGTTCATCAGGACATCATATGACCAGCAGATCCTGTGTGAACGCTCTACGTTAGTCAGTGGACGTCCGACAACATGCACACTAACTTATATTGCAGCTATAGGCTATACTTTGATTTAAATTGCGTGAATAAACTAGCTAGAGAGCTAAAGTTAATTACGTTCATCCAATGTCAGAAGGATTACGTTTTAACAAACATTTTAATGGTATTCTTTCATTTCAATTTGAGTAAAACATTGAAGATATAACATTGTATTGATTTCTTTTTACACTGACTCTGATATAATGAAAAGACTACGTCAGACGAAGCTCAGCTTTGGTAAGAAAGAGACAGGACAGGCAGAGAGAAAGAGAGAGAGAGAAAGAGATGGAAGTCAGGGAGGAACTGGAGTCACACAAAAGAATGTAGGCTTAATAACCCTATATATCCATCTATCCATTTATAACAATAGTCTTCATTTACAATAGGCATAATTTTAAAACAACATACATCTATTGCAGTTATGATGTCATAATAACATACAATTGTATAAAACACAATTTTCTTACATATTTGTTCTCTTTTGAAAATCAAACAAAACAGATTTAAATTAAAAAAAACAATGCAAACAAACAAGTGAAATGAACTAAACTGCTGAATTGCTTTGAATTCACTGGCAGGAGCGACAAGTGAGAAGTAGCAAAAAGTGAACAATGAGGGAGAGATTGAACAAAGAGAAAAAGAAGAAGACAGAGAGACTAAAGAAGATGGAAGAGAGGCTGCAGGTTATGGAAAGGAGAGAGACATGGAAAATGAATGTTGACATTGTTTTGTGATCATTTTAGCCTCTCCTGCATGTCCAGATCATTAATAGTAACAATCAACTGATTCTTATGTATTACACTTTCAAAAATTATTTATGCTGACATTGTCAGCCCACTGACATGGTTTGAAATCAATATATTATCCAATCTGTGACCCCCCCACAGGACTTAAAAAGCACCTAACTAGATCATGAAAATCCCAAAAATCTTGGGAGGTATCCCCCGAACCCCCCTAACATGTTTGGACCTCGGTATTTAGGAAATCCTGGATACGGCCCTGGGCGTGCGTTGAAGCTTCAACGCTTCTGCCCATTCACTTTGAATGGGATGACGTCACGCTTTGCCGAACTGCATTGTGGTCGCTTCGCTTCAACAGTTGAGCAATGTTCAACTTTTGAAGCTTCGACGGAAGCGTCAGCCAATCAAATCATATGCCAGTACAAGCTCTAGCCAATCAAACTGCGTGCTTGTGTGTCCGGGGCGGGAGATTCATGTGATTGGTTGTTGGTCGAGTTTCAGACACGCCCACCGGCAAGCTTCAACGCACGC